CTTGAACGGGGATCTCGTTCTCTCATTTGGAATCACAGACAAGGATGCCAGTGACTCAGGCTAGGGGACTGATTCTTTAACACTGAGAATACCGGATTCCATTTCCGTGTTTTTCAGTACCTTTACTTTCATTACCTTCGCCGCTCCCTGTTGGCGCAGTGAAGCAAGCACCTTCTGCACAGGGCTGGAGTCTGGCAGCCCAACCCCTTGGTTACCTTCTTTGCCCCCTTGCTCTGGGGAGAAGGCTTTATTCTCAAACAGCGAAGTGAAAGATTTTGATTTGGCTGGTTGAAGTCCAGCTGCCCCAATGGGGTCTGGCACTGGCTCAACCCTGRCCCATTTCGGTACTCTGTGCTCAGACTGATCTCTAGATGGTGTGGGGGATGGGGAACGAGAGAGAATCGGGGAAGGGGCCGGGGAGGGGGAGGGAGAGCGAGAAGGTAATGGTGAGGGGGAGGGGGTACGATCTGAGGGAGGTGGAGGGGGGGGTGGCGGTGGGGGGCTGGGAGTTCGCTTGAACTCCCTTCCACCTCCTCTGTCACCTCTTCCTCCTCTCCCTCTCCCACCTCTCCCTCCCCTCTCTCCTCTACCCCCTCTCYAACTCCTGCCTCTTYCCCTTTCCCCCTTGGCTGATGCTCCTCTTCCCCCTTGCCAGTTGTCTGTGTTTTCGACGGGTCCAGTTGATYTGACAGTGCGKTGCCTTCCACTTTGTACGGGCACTCCTCAGCACGGTGGTAGAACCAACGACAGGTAGCACACCATGGTGTGTCCTGTGTGACTATGTCAATTACCTGTGCATCCCCATCTGGATACCTCAGGCGAAACTTCTTTTTCACCTTGTGTCTGGCTGAACTGTGGATATCGAATTTGACATGGGACAGTTCAGGTTCATCTGCGTCTCGCAGAATGGGGTATTCTTTGAGGATGGGACCAATTTTGGTTTCAACAAAAGTGTGCATTTGTGGAACCATTCGCCAGGGGACCCTGAGCCCCATCAGCCAAAATTTGGTGTCTTTCTCTTTCTTCTTTTTCTKGTTTCCCATCTGGAAAAAAGGCCAGATACTCTGTACCTTGTCCTGATAGTGRAATTTTTTGCAGAACCCTTTTTAATTAAGAAATCCACAATCTCTTTCTTAGGAGGGACGTAGGACACCATGTTTGCTCCCTCATTCCTCATTGTTCCACGCTGCATCACAARGGCACCGTTGTTGTCTTYGACCTAGGCTGCTTCATATATTCTGACGAGGTGCCTCTTCAGATTGAGTGGGATCAGATCTTCATCCTTGGGAACAAAGGAGATCACCACTGTGTGGTCTTTCAGCCACTGGACAGCATGTTGATCAATTTSTTCATCTGCCGTCATTTCCAGGGTATCGTCATCTTCTTCATTTTCAGAGATGTTTCCCATGYTGAGATTTYGAGGAAGGATACCAACTTTGAAGCATTGATCCAGAGCCAACTTCAGGTCTGACATATTTACCTGATTGTTGGATGCACTTGGAGCTTCTGTGTCCATTCTATCCTGTTGTTCCATASCTCAACACGGACTGCGCTTGGTTCAGATTCYGTYAGYCCTTTGGTATTCCTAAGTTCCACTGTTAGGGCAAGGAAGACTATATAATTATACCGTAATCCTAGGTAGGTGAACCAGATTGGTTATTTACATATATCATTGCTGAATGCTTTCGTAGGGTATGTAAAAGACTTATAAGGGCAAATAATTAACCAATTAGTAATAAGAAATTGATTGGAATAATTGCAAATTCCTTCCGAAAGTCTGCACACCACAAGTTTCGTTTATTCGCTCAAACCAATTCGGACTGAGAAAACTATTATTTTCACTACCGTCCGCGTATATCCGCTGGGTGTATTAGGTCCGATTATCCCTTTACACTGAGTGCGAGGGGAGCTCTCCCGACTCAAATCGACTGAGCGAGCTATTGTGTTCGCACCTATATAATTAATTCGTAATAATAATTTAGTAAAAATAATTACAAAGTTCTTTCGAGAAAAGTTTGGACAAAGACTTCTGATATACCTGCTACCGTTCGCATATATGCACTCAGTGCATCAGGTTCGATTGTCCCCCTACACTGTGTGCGAGGGGGGTATTATTCAGTACTTCCACTCAACTTCACATTCCCGGTGTGAATGCACTGCACCAGGACCACGTCTTCTTCGGGGGTATAGAAGTAATGTTAAAAAGGCCGCGGAAGACCTATTTCCAGAAGGGAAGCTAAGTAGTTTCTGCTAGGATACTGTTGGTACTATGGCCGTACTATTTAGGTATTCCGTTTCGTTGAGTTTGGACAGAGACTTCTGATATACCCGCTACGGTTCGCATACATGCACTGAGTGTATTATTCAGTATTTCAACTCAGATTCACATTCCCTGTGTGAACGCACTGCACCAGGAAGACGTCCTCTTCGGGGATATAGAACTAAGGTTAAAAAAGGCCGCGGACGACCTATTTCCAGAAAGGAGGGTGAGTAGTTTCTGCTAGGGTACTGTTGTCGAAAACTGCATTTTCGACATTTTCTCCTCGCCACACAGCATGTCGAAATCCGAGATTCAGAAAAAATTCAGGAGCTGTCAGGGAAAGGGTTTCGACACCTCCTGTCGAGAAGGGCTCGTTTCCACTTCAGGCCTGCAACTCGCACATTTTCAACAGTCCTCGGATGGGATGTCGAATTCTTGCCCGAATGTCGAAAAAGAGAACGCACCAACGCTTGTCCTATCTTCACCCCAGTTTCTCTTTTGTGCATACGACTCGTGAGTTCTTCACTTGGACATGCGATGTGGCGAAGAGGGGTCTTATGTCGAAAGCGGGAATGCCGAAAATCTCCTGACATATGTCGAATTTCGTGATGTTTCGACATTGGTGTGGCGAGGCCCTAAAAGTGAAAACGAATCTGGCGCTGTGTATGCAACAGATTCATGATCCTATAGGGCTCTCGGAGCGACGTGGGCATATAGTACCCCACATGGAAAACATTGGGCCGAGTTTCGGGCGCCCAAAAAGGAAAACGTTTTGGCATGGGCGCTTTCTACGAATTATCCCTTCTTTTTTTTGGGGGGGAAGGGAGAGGACGATAACTGCTTCTGTACCTTTCGGGCAATGACATATCACGAGCTTGGTCAGCAGCAGTGATTTTATTCAGGCTCGGTCGTTGTTTCTGGTACCGGCCCGGAGAAGTATACATCAAATTCTCTTTCGGTGCTTCTACAAGAGTACGCAGAAGACGCTGGTGGAGACGAAAGAAACTTATAAAAATGCTGCAAATCTAGATCTAAAAAACAGAACTATCCGATTATACAAAGGAAAATACAATTAAAGATTTACCAGGATCACCAGTACCTTCAAAGATACATAATGAAAAACAATAAGAGTGCAATTCGGTCTCCTACGGAAACCACCCCACGGATCCGCGCCATTAAGTTGTCTTTTTTTTTCTGTCCCTTACATAGCTCGGCCTATTGACTAAGATCAGTGTAGTATTTGTTGTGATCAGTTAAAAAATGCAAAATAAACGGTGACAGCCTTAATTTATCATTGTCAAACCTTGCTTGCACAGGGAATCTCAGAAATGTTTTACGTCATTCATCCAGATTTGAACATGCGCCTGTACTTCAACAGGCCACGGCCAACGGGTGTTCCAACTGATGTAGGACCGTCGATAGTTCATAAATTCCATATGCTCTATTTACGCCCTCGAGGACACAGTGCTGCCATGTGATCAGATGTGATCCGAGAGATACAACGAGCTCTGGAATTCTCAATTCGACGTCGGTCCCTATAGTCTTCTGTCAATTAGACGAGCGCAAGTAAACGGAATGCAACGGATAAAAGAAAAGTGTCCACTGTCTTCCGCCGAACACAATGCACGGCCGTCATGGGATAATAAATGGGCCTCGATCTCGCCATGATGACCAGAAACCTTTTCGCGTGGGCTGTATCTACGAATTCCGCCCTCTATTTGGGCTGATCCTATTTGGAAAGATCTTTCGTCTAGTTCATAATTGTCTTACTTCATCCATCTAGTTCGATATGATGCCGAACCTGGGTCTGTATTTCAACACTTAAGGGTTGTAACAACGTAGCTACCTTCTTCCCTCGAATACGACGTACGTCATTACAGCTGTATTTTTAACATCTTTGTCCAAATACGGCTGCAATGACCGTACGTTGTATTCGGGGGAAGAAGGTAGGCGCGTTGGTGCTGATAGATTTTCACCATCATGATTGGCAAAGGCTGCACGGTTACAGTTCCTTCTGTATTCTGCATCATTGCAATTACTACCGCGTTTACCCGAAGAGAACGCCCGGTCATTCTAGCTGCATGTGGTCCATTTTCGGTCTCGATACAGGGGACTACGACCCGGCGATCTATTCGCGTGAAAACCGTAGTGCCGAAAGTACCCCCACCGCAGGAAGATCTCCCGACCAGAAAGACCACCGCAGGAAGATCTCCCGACCAGAAAGAGATTTGCAAGCAATTCAAACCAGTCCAATCCACAGAGATTTCCCACATTCATCACAGCAGATCGATGCATCTTGAGGGCCGACAACCCATTCGCTTGTGCAAATCTAAACCCCATCTTGAGGGCCATAGGACCTCACCTGAAAATTGTAAAAATGCATAGAGGGCAAAACACAAATAGAAAGGCGACCCAGGCAGTCAATTCAGAAGCGAACAAGTTCAGCGACATGTCGCATCGCAGGCACGATCATTCATAATTGGAAACATGCGTGTAAGTCTTCTTTAAGACTATAGAATAGAATCAACTTCCCATCTTCATATCATTTCCTCTACTTCTCTTATCGCCAATATTCCGTCCCTTCCCATGCATACAAAGGCTGTCCCAAGAGAACCATTCAGTTACCAGACACATCAAACGCCTTCATCATTGCAGCCCCCAACACTCGATTCCTACATCAGGCACACTCGACTATGCCATAGCTAACTGAGGTGATTACGAAAGGTTTGTCAACGACGAAGCGGAACAGTAATCTTTATTCAAACAGAACGAGAAGTTGCCATGAAAGCGCTGCGAAATCAAAGAGTTTGTAATCGTTATTAATCATACTCTTCTCTCTCTCTCTCTCTCTCTCTCTCTCTCTCTCACACACACACACACACACACACACACACACACACACACACACACACACACACACACACACACACGGACACACGGACACACGCACACACGCACACAAACACAAACCCAAAAAAAGAACACAAGCCCACGAACATGCCTGCTGCATGCAGACGTCCATCTATGTACATCCCGCATTCCAAAATGCGGGCTTTCCATTTTCTTGTCCCGACGTAGTTCCCGGTACCTTCAGAAAGGCGACACCCTAGGCATAGCAGCAGAGGCTCTGGAGAAGTTGGAGTCCCTTGGAAGTGGGAGACGATCTGCGCAACATGCCTCTTCCGGGCCTTCTCATACCGAGCTTTCTTTCCGAGCAATGTTGCAAAGCGTGCTGCCAACTCGCCTGTCTTCCGTACTCAGCAGGTACTCACATTCGCACTGCGTGGGAGGAACAGCAGACTGATGGAAGACACACGGCAGCCGGACATTGGACAAACGCCGCGTGCTCCACACCTGCCTTCTCCAACTCGCCCTTCACAGTCTCGTCCTCGGAAACGAGGGCAGCTATGGCGACAGCCTCAACGCCTCCCTCGGCGAACAGCTTCGAATATATATCTTTCCGGCACGCCACCGTCAACSCCTCTTGCATCAGCTGGACAGAAAACTCGTAACCCGCACAGCCAGCAATCACAATCACCTCCTTGAGCAATTGCTTCTCCCTCTGTCTCCTGGCCTCCCTTCGCGCACAAAACTCCACCGGCGGCTCGSATCGAACGAGGCGGACGCGCTCTCCGGCGGCCACCACAGTCTTGAGAATGGTGACATCAGCAGCGAGACGTGCGCCGGCGGCAAGCGCAGACACTCCGCCGAGCTTCACCAKTTCGGCATACAAACTCTTCTTCTCGGAGTYCCCAAGGAGCTTTGTACAGTCCGCCAGGCGAACCGCGATCTCGTGCCCGCGAGACCCGGCAGCACAGACAACAGATTGCAAGAGCTGACATTTTAGAGAAGCAGAGAGGGTGGAGTAGRAAGAGGAGAGAGGCKGGCAGCAAKMGGTGGACACAGCGGWGCAGCGGACATGCTCSCCCACKGCCKCGGCAAGAACATCAATGTAGCAGGCRTCGCCAGCTATSGCGGCCGCCGTCGTCACTGCCTCCATGCCGCCCTTTACATAGAGCGTCTTGTAGTGGCGCTTGCGCTCCTCGATGGACAGGCACGCATACTCRTTCTTGAATTTCAGACCGATCTCGTATCCCTCGACTCCCATGAAGGAGATGAGCTTTCGCAGATGCGCATTGCAATCCGCAGGAGGGCATGCTGGGCGGCATAGAGGAAGGCATGGAGAACGGCATTGCGTCTTCTTCTCCGCAAACTTCAGATCGGTCGGGGGCTCCGCGGCAAACAACAGTCGCAAGAGCGCCCATCCATCCTCCCCGATCAGACACGTCAGCTCGTCCACGATGGCCTGCTGTTTGGCCAACGTCAGGCCATGACATCGCGCAAGCCGCCTTGCGAGCTCCTCGATTCTGGAGGCGGCGACTGCGGACTTGGCGTGGCTGACAACCATAGTGATGGAGTACAGCTGCCTGGAATCCAGCTCGGGGATGCACGGAGGGGACGGAGGAACGACAGGGGTGCACAGGCCCAGAATCTCCCGCAGGATCCAATGGCCTCTCGCGTTCACCAAGGACAGAAGGCGCTGGCTCAAACACTCCCGCTCAACCGTCGTGATGGTCGGCAGGAGAGCCACACGCGTGGCCAGCTGCTCAATCAACGCTTCGTCAGTCTTGTACAACGCTTCCTTCTTCAAACAGGCAATGACCAATTCCTTCAACTTCGTCAGACTGGGAGGGAACTTCTTCTCAGGCGCAGGAGGAAGGAAAGTCGCCAACTTCTTCGAGTCCTCCGCAACAACGTACTCCGGCTTGTGCTTGAAGCCTCCGGCGCAGAGCACGTACATCACTGAGTTAAGAATGCAAACGTTCTGGTTCTGGTGGTCGTTCTCGTGTTCCCTGACAACGGTGCTGTACAGGTGATGGCTGAAAATACCCGCCGGCTTGCAGTCGACAACCACGTCCCAGGTGGTTTCGTCCTCTGCGCAGGCAAGCCAAGCAGAGGGGAGGTCGTAGTACAGAGCCTTGCAAGAATCGGAGAAATGGCATTGCACGCATGCGAAACGATCTTCGGCATTCAGCTTTCTACTCGCCGTTACCGATGCCACGTTATCCAGACCCCTGGCTGAGACCACCTTCGTCGACAAACCGTGGCAAAGGACAGAGTGCTTCACGCCTGTTATAGTTGGATCAGCACCGCCAAGGAGGGACAACAAGCCAAAGAATGAAAACAAAACTGCTCAGCTTTTCCGATCGCAGTAAATGTCGAAAAGGAACTTTCTTTGTGTCGCACTTCGGGACACCCTTCCGTTAACAATGGAGCGATTACAGAGAAGATACACTGCAGCGTGTGTGTGCGCGGAAGGGACAAACATGTGGGAGCGGTAAGGAGGGATACGAGAAAGGGGAAAGGGCGAGGGGGAGATGGCAAGATGCACTGAGTCAGACGGAGTGCACGCATCGCAAATTATAGGCATCGGGCGCCCTCACTGCATAAACGACAGCATAGGACAGCACCTCAGCATAGCATGGCCCCTGCGCAAAGATGAGACCTATAAATCCAGAAATGTAATTTTTTAGCTTTTTAGCTGTCTTCCACGCAAAACTACACACAAAACTGGGAAAAAAAAAAACCGAAAAAAATGCTGAAAAGGGAAAACAGAAACGACCGCGTGGATTGCGATCATTTACTGGACCCTACCCCTTTGAGCCTCGACAGGTGGAGAGACCCAACAACTGACGGGAATTAGGTAATAAGGTGAATTCACGATACATATGCTCTTTTTTTTTCCCCAATATGAAAAGGAAACACCACTACAAGTTTTTAAAATCCGCTCGTCTTCCCGCATTTGACCAGTGCCCGAAAGAGGCCGGAAATCACGACTGAATCATCTATTCCAATTCCGAATCGACAGCAATGTTACCGCGTTCTATCCTGGAAAACGTCATCACTGTAATAATTCTATCCCAGATTTTCGTCAAAATCATCGCGTCCATAGATTTTCAACAACATAAGGGTCCGATCTGCTCGAGGGGACCATCCCCTGCTGGGAAACTTTCCTGAATGTACATGACCGCAATTACGTCCAGATAGAAGTGGAAAAAAGTCCTAATGTGAGTACAGCGTGAGAAAGGTAGCATTACTCACACTGGGCGAAATCCAGGGATTGACTGAAATCCTTTCAGAGGAGCAGAAACAGACCTGAATGAAGATCGATCTAAGGACTGCCGTCCCGCATTGATGACCTCTTTACAGCAAACAAAAGAGAGATGCCAAAGTAATTCACACTCACTTCACACCTCGAAACGAGAGCCGGACGAAACATTGTTATGATATCAAAAATCACAAAAGGCGCATTACGAGCCTGACACATCCTACAATTTAATCCAAACAATCAAGCGATTGGCCAATATACTTATTTCCCCAATCAAATCCGCTTTGCATCTCCGGCAGAAAGACCTTTCTAATCGTCAAGTGCAATGACATATCAAGATCGCATTCACGAGGGCGCGAGAGATGGAGAGGAAGAGGAGGAGAGAGTGAAAAAGGAAGCACAAGTGACAGCCGCAGAGAGAACGGGAGAAGTTGGAGAACGAAGAATGCTTGCAAAACAATCAACGAGTGTGTGTAACAAATGCAACTAACAATACATCCAAAGAGAGAGAGAGAGAGAGAGAGAGAGAGAGAGAGAGAGAGAGAGAGAGAGAGAGAACGAAGAGGTAACGAGCGTAAAACTGTCACATAGCATCAGAGCTGGTTTTTCAGGAAGAGAAAAAGAGTGAAAATCGAAAAGGCGTAAGTGAAAAAGAGAAACGGCGAGAGAGTGGTAGAACGCAGAGCGCTTGCAAAACAATCAATGAAGGCGAGGAAGAGGGAAAGAGAAAGAGGGAGGAAATGAAGTGATAATGAGTGCAAAATTCACACATAAGAGACGGCATCAGAGTAGGGTTGATGATACTGACCGGCGAGGGCGTACTCGTCGGCACCTTTGAAGGCTGTATCAAACACTTGAACCACCGTCACACCCTTGGGAATGCCGGCGAATTTGGTGCTGAACACACTGTGCTCAACAACGTTCCGGAAACCGCAGACATCCGACACTGTAGCGTCGCACGGAAGGAGAGCCTCCTCGAGAGAGTCGCACGACGATGCCGAGGGAACACGCGTACCATATCCCGAGAAGTGGAAGAACAGCACATCACCCGCGCACGGACCCTTTACCAACCAATCAAGCGCCGCCAGGATGCAAGCTTTCGTGGGCGGCGTTGTGCAAGCCTTAGCGCAGCTCGCATCCACTTCTCCATCGGCCAGCACGCACACGTCCGCCTCTGCAAATCCATACACCGTCGTGAGCGCTATCTTCGCCTGCACGACATCGTTAACCGATCCACGCAGAGTAGGCAGATGAGTGCTGTCGCCATAGCTAGCGCCGATAAGCAACGCCCTGCGCGCCATGGTTGAGTGATGATAGGTCCGTGCGGTTCCTCCGCCTCGACGTGATTTGAATTTGAGCGCGGTGTAACTGCAGACAACAGTCCGCTCCGGGTACTTTCGCTTCCACTCGCAAGTTCCTATTGTCTCGGTCCAGCAGAACAGCTATGCGGCGAAGCACTGAAAAAGCCGCTTTGACCTCGTCCGTTTCCTCATCGCGTATTTATCGAATACTCTAAAGAGTTCTCACTCATTTTCATTTATTTTAGGGCCTCACTACACTACGGAACGTTCGACATGTACGTGGACAGCTTGCGAGCGGACGCATTCAAACTTATTAAACGTTTTGAATGTGAGTATTAGGACCGTCACAGAGGTCCAGATACAGATACATTTAGAATGTTGTGCCAAACGCGTCGTGGCCGTTTCATTTTGAGTTTTGGCGTTCCCGCTGCTGGCTTGATACCGCCCACAGTAGGTGGGTGCCGCGTTTTCCCACTGTACTCTTCAGATCGTCTCTGAAGTTCCCGCTGCCGCATCCTCCCGCGGGGCCGGCTCCCAGTTGCGCCGTGTAGTGGTTAGAAAACTACAGTGTGACTGTGTGGGGAGGCTGTGTGACGCGCAAAGGGGGTAAAACATTGGGCCTCGCCACACCACTGTCGAAACGAAAAAAGCACTCGTGCATCTTCTTCAAAAAGTGTCCAGATGCATATGTTTCAAGTCATAGGAAAGGATGCATCATCCCACTTTCTGTGGGAACATGCGTTTATAAAGGGAAGGCTCTTCGATATCGAAATGAAATTATACTCAAGAAATGAACGTTTTTCGTTTCGACTCAAGAAATGAACGTTTTTCGTTTCGACAGTGGTGCGGCGAGGCCCATTCGCGTAATGTGGTGCAAGCAAAACCGAAAAAAAAGAAAAAACAAGGCGGCAAAACGTGGCAGTCTTCTGCCACTGTCAGCGCTAAAAATTCCCTTTAAAATCAGAAAAGCGTCCTTTCCGAACCAATTTCGAAAAAAAAAATCGACATAGGTTTTTTTCATAAAGACCTTCGCCGCACGGCACATCTAGAAGGCGCGCGGAATTGAGGCGGGTGAAGGCTGCCGTGGGTCCCGCCTGTCACGACACGCACCATCTTGACAGTAGCAACAGGCGTTTTATTTTCCAAGGCCTTCGGACGGGAACCATGTGGGATCCCAATTTTTTCTTCAGAATTAGGGCCTCGCCACACCAATGTAGAAACATCACGAAATACGACATATGTCAGGAAATTTTCGACATTCCCTCTTTCGACAGAAAAACCCTCTTCGCCACACAGCATGGCGAAGTGAAGAACTCACGAGTCCTGTGCACAAAAGAGACAAACTGGGGTGAAGATAGGACAAGCATTGGTGCGTTCTCTTTTTCGACATTCGGGCAAGAATTCGACATCCCATCCGAGGACTGTTGAAAATCTCCAAGTTGCAGGCTGGGAAACGAGCCCTTCTCGACAGGAGGTGTCGAAACCCTTTCCCTGACAGCTCCTGAATTTTTTCTGCATCTCGGATAAAATGTCGAAAATGCAGTTTTCGACATTGGTGTGGCGAGGCCCTTACACGCCGAGTCTACTCTGACACATGTCGAAAACGGCACATCCATTAAACAAAAAAAAACAAAAAATGGCACAGCCGGTGTTGAATCTTGGCCCTCGGCAGGCAGGCGGTTTCACACGGATGTAGAAATCCTTTTCCTAACAAATGTCAAAGGGGTTTTCAACATTTTTTCTTTGGCAGTCTGTATGGGGAAGAAAAAATGTCGAAACCACTTGTCTCGACATTGGTGTGGCAAGGCCCTAACATTTGTGCAGGAGCTTCCACTGTACGTCAGATGAAGTTCAGATGGAGTTCTTACGTCCGGTTGGTGACGGTCACTCGCTGGCAGCACCTACTTTAGAGGGTTGCAAGTGAGACCCTCTGGCCTCTGTACTCTTCAAATCGTCTCTGAAATTCCCTCCGCTGTGTTCTCCAGGACCGAGCGACTTTCCTGAAAATGTTGGACACGAACGCATGTCCTCCCGACGTGGTCACCCTTTTTGCACAAGAACAAGAATAGGAACTCGGCTGCGCTAACACATTGCGGTCCCACAAACGTTTTAAGGAGGCACTAGTGGGAGGGCTAACACATTGCAGTCTGGCGTTCTGTTTGAAAAGGCACTAGCGGGAGGGCCCTTCACCAGAAACGGTGCGGGTCCACACATAGCCACCAACTTCGTTCCCCTCTGTCACTAGGGTTTCACGCTCTTGTGACGCTCAACCTCACGCCCTGTGCTGTCTTCCGTTCGGAGTGTTTAAAATTGCGGAACGGGCCCCGGAAAGGCAGCAAGATGGAGTGTGCCAAGGATTTTTGGAAGATTGAGTGCGGGGACACGGACAGAACCGAAATCCCCTGTGTCGGTCCGACTTAGTAAGAGGGGGGGGGAGCCCGTCACTGCGCGGGTTTTGAGGGAGAAGAAGGCGCGCACGAGACTCACGACGTGGGGAAATTCAATCCAAAAAGTATCGTTGAACTTCCCATCGAGCCGTCGCTTTACGTTTCGCATGGAAGGGGGAGGGCACGTACTTCGTATCCCGTTTCCAGGTCAAGTCCTGACGCCGCTCATTACACAACTTTGAATCTGACGTGGAAGGCCTTAACCGAGTGCCTCTTTCCTTACGCTCATCTTCCTCTAGTACTCGGTAGTGAAAGCCCTTCGATTGGTAACGCTCGAAGCGGCGATAATCGTTGCACAAAGTGTTAGGCCAATGGGGCGCTACTGCCGACCACGGGATGACGATTAGCTCATTGAACGGCAATAGCAACGAATAAGGCGGAAAGTGTGTGTCCACAATAACAAAACCAGCACCGACATATCCAGAGCATCGAGTTTCAGGAGGGAAGTAGTATCTTCTGCCGATTTTAGCGATGGTTTCTCGTACGTCCCACTCGCATACGAGTGTCCTCTTCTCATTATACGGAAAGGGGCGTGGCGGGGATGCGGRAGGCCGGCGCCCAGTCGGCTTGGGACAATCGGTCCACATGGCAATAGCGAAATCCTATCTATCATGCATCCCAAATGTCAATCACAACGATCCTACGATCTATTCAGAGACAAGTCCACCAGGCATTTGTCTCATCATGACATCATTCAAGCATTCTCATTCATTTCCCCCAGACATTCATCAAAAAAGGTGCGAAAATGGCAGCCACATATCACCCAGTTCTCCGTGTGCTTTGCACCCCTACCCCGTTATCCCCGTGACTAATTAAGCGTCAGCCAAAACAACCATATCATCCCTCGTGCGCAATTATTCGGCAAGCCTCCATAACCGTTCATGTCATGGAGGAAATGAGAGGAGGTAGGGAGGAAAAGACGCGGAGCAGACAAGGTAGATGAAAGTTCCACCAGGATCCGATGATGAAAAAGAGTTTTCGACTTAACTGTCGTCGAACTGAACTCACTCCAAGGAATAGATTCGAGATAAGGAGGCGCGTCTACCATGAAGTTCAACTATGGCCCCGGGCCATTCATCCATTCAACTCTGATTACTATCCCCGTGCATGCACTGACGGTCCGAGCCTTCACGTGCCACTTTCCACCACTGCGATCGTCACCCCGCCGACTTAGTTTCTGCACGGCTTGCCCGGATCTCACAGTCCGTCGTGGCGATTAGGCACACCGCCGGCCAGACTACAGTCAGCCCGTCGGGACTTTTCGACTCGCACTCCACACGTACCATCTAGCCACTACTTCCCGGAAGCTGGCAGACGAGTTGAGAGAGAGATTTGCAGGCGTGCTTGCATAATTTATAGTTGCGAGAAAGGATGTGGATACGAGGGAGGACGAAGATTGGGGCAAGGAAGGGTGAGGGAGGATTTGGGGATAATCGCTCGTCGAAAGCCATGTTGATCCTTTTGAGTCCGATCGTAGCCAATCAGAGTCGTCGCGTAATAGGAACTTTCTCTTACACGACGCTTCTCCTTGGCTAAACGGGGTGAAGAGAGGACTGACTAGGTCCTTCGGTGTTGGACTTAAGGTGGGAGGAAGAAGGGGGCGCAAGATAGCGCGAATTGGATCCAAGATTTAGATGATCAAGAAAGAGAAAAGACGCGCAAGGAGAGAGGCAGAGAGAGAGATAGGAAAAAACGGTTACAGAGGGAGAGTGAATGCGGGCGAGGAAGGAGCGTCGAAGATGGCGATGGGAGCAGAAAGGGGGAAGCTCGCTTGCATGGTGCCGATCATAAATGCAAAAAGAGGCACCAAAACATTTACAGATTCCTAAGTCCTATGCTAATTCAAAAATTGAAATTGCCATATCCGCTCGTAAAGTAGGCGCGGGAAAAAGACAGTCCTACATCCATTTATATTCCCACCAAATTCCCAGAGATTTTGCGGCGTGGTCGAGAACATTCACGCACAAAAAAAACACTTCGGGTTCCGTTCATTTCGGAATTTCTAACTGTCGGACCAAATTCCTAGCGCGCTTAATAAAGCGCGCGTAATTCCCATGCATTTCCCAAATTATGAAAATGGAATTTCAAGAATCAATGAGACTGAAAACACGGGCCTCAGCAAGGCATCTTAAAAAAAAAAAAAAAAGCGAGAGGGACCTTGTTGGCCCGAGCAAAATTTGAAAAGAAAAAGAGAGAGGAGGGGTCCGAAAGATGGCGCAGGCTCAGAAGCTGGTACGTCACACTTTTCTTTCTCGGTAATTTCGAGGTAACGCCCTGGCTTACCTTTGTGGGCTATCATGGTCACGCTGTGGGTAGCTGGGAAGAGGAAGATCACACTTCAAGGTTGTCCCCCCTGACCCATTGAACATGGTAGTGCGGCGGGTGACTTGGGGGTCGACCGCATCACTGGTGTTCGTGCTTTTGCTGTTAATCTCCTTTTGGAATAGACGTGCCCTGGGGCTGATCCTTTAGGTCTGGCGAGTTCTTCCATCGAAGTTATATCTTCTCATGTCTTAACTATTGGGCCAACTAAATTTGATATCTCTTCTTTGCCCGATTGGGCCATTATTGAAGTTGATTAGGATATGTCTAAGAATAGTCAGTTTACTTTGATTGACGTTGTTCACCTGAGCAATGGCGGCGGCGGCCTCGA